GGGGGAGGGGGGAAGGCGCATCTGATTTAGCGATAAGTAAACAAATGCCTTTAAAACTAATAAATACATACATTTAACAACTATATAACAACCAAATTAAAACCACGAGGTAACATATTGCCAAGTCGACATAAGAACATGACAGTAAAAGAATAAATAAAAACATAACAAAAAATTTAAGCCACATACCTCCTAAGGTATTCATGTCCACCAGAGGCTCTAGAAAAAAAAATTCAGAGAGAAAATTATAACACTTAATAATTAGATTATAGATGCATTATAAAATATGTCACAAAATGCACACATGCTCTGATGCATGCTTCCTGTCTCTCTCTCTCTCTTTCTCTCTCTCACACACACACACACACACACACACACACACACACTTACTGTTACTAGGTCTATAGTCGGTACAGAGTCTCTTGAGCAATTCTGTTGTTTCCTGGGGGACTTCAGCCATAAGAACTTTACCATAGCGCTTCAGATTGCTCTCAGCCTAGAACAAGTTAATTCTAATACCCAGTCTGGTCACAGTACTGTTACAGTATAAATTTTCATATCAGAATACTTATGAAAGTTATATATCAGAAGATTTTAATTCTAGCATTAGCCCTTTTGAATTTTGTAATACATAAATTTTCTGACTTTTCCTTTAGCAAATTGTGAAATTTGCTTTTTTTTTCACTTTTTATTTCCAAATTAGTTTTCCACCTCAGTCTATAACTCCCACCCTACCTCCATGAAGTCCAGTTTCCCTATATAGTCCAGAGCTTTCTGGTAGTTCTTAATGCTCTCTAGCTGAATCCTCAAGTACCACTCGTGTTTGTTGTGGAGTTCAGCCAAAAACAGGGCGTGGTCGTAGTAGGCTGCTTGGCGGCACACTTTTATNAGAAAATTGTTTAAACAAATTATTTTTGATTGGTACATTGGGGTTTGTGAAATGTAGTACTGGTAAAAACCTTCCAGTAGCGTATAATTTCATGTTGGGACCATTCAAACTAGTGTGATACGGAAGCCTGTACGGCCTGATGTCAGGAACTGTTTTCTGCAAGATGGTGGCTATACCCACCAAACTTTTTCTGTGATGAAGAAATCGAGGTCTGATTAAGCCCAACCTTTTGACATCAATTGTCTGACTTTCTGTCTGATGTCAGATATGTCCGCCAATTTGAAAAACATGATAAGATGTTGCCGCCGTTTTTCACCTGTTCAGTCAAGGACTAATCAGGACCAAAAAAATGGCAAAATTTGTCTTATCAGATGACCATATTGTATAGAAAAACACCCACTGTATTGATTTCCAGTCTAAAAATAATTCCAATCTGAACGATATGACTTGAGTTAGTAGAAATGTCTGAACATAACCAAAATACACTCAGTGACATGACTAGAAAAAACTGAATTATTGGGTATGTTAAAAGTCACCGAAAGGGTTCAGAGGCTCGGGCTTTGAAATTCTCGGGCCTGTGTTCTCTGGAACAAACTGTGCAGTCTGAAATACAGAAGAAAAAAATTTGTAATTAATTCTTTACTCATAAATAAGTATCTAAAAGTTTTTAAAATATAAGTTTTCCAATAGAGTAGAGGATTAAACAGTGACCTAAACAGCCAATAACAATAAAAACAATAAGAATGATGAATTACTTAACATTTATTCTGTTAACATTTATGGGCACTTTTAACAACTGTCTAATTATTCATTTACTTATTATCAGTAATTAAAATGGGAATTTATTAACCTTAAAGACTCCTCTTCCAAAATAGTCAGCCACCACTGAGAAACCATCTGTGGACCTCTCAAGCTGAAATACAAAAGTTGTTATCATTGGCTGCTTTACAGACTTCTCAAGCTGAATTACAAGACCTGATATCATTGGCCAGGAAGCAGACACGAAGCAAGTGCTGCATCGTGAGAGTAAAATATCCATGTACTTGTCAAAGAACATTTCATCTAAGAAAAAATCTTAGGGTCAGAAGGATTCTTATTCCACACAATAGACCAGTGAAAACTGAAAACACTGAAAGTAAAATTGTGTGGAGAATATCTCAAATATCACACTCATTTTATATCACGATTTTCTCAAAATCAGTAATTTCTTCACAGCAGAAATTGCACTATCAATCATGAATTCAACCACCTTTTAGAATGTTACAATTATATATATGGGTAATAGTGTCAAAAACACTATTTATTCATAAATTTGTGTCTGAATTTAGTGAGTAAGTCCCTGAACTACTTCTCACCTGGTGGTGGAATTGTTCATGTAGATCTTTACTTTGTTCTTGAGCACGTATGATGTCCAGCAGCTTCCTAGAAATGTGAGTTAAAAAGTGAAAATATGTGAACATTTTGGCCAAAAGGTAGTACTTTAAATGATGTTTGTTTCAGCAACTTGTTAATTGAAGAGTATAAAAAGCCAGCTAATGCCTGAAATCAACTTTTAAAAAATCTTAAAAAGAAAAATAACTCTCCTCTATTCATAACTATTTAACTTACAAAAATATTTAATAAGCAATACCTACTGATTTTTTAAAAATACTTTTTGGTCCTCAATTTTGAATAAAGAAACATGACTTCCTGTCCTAATTAGCCCCTCCAGCCACCTGACCATGTTTCAATAGCATATATTGACTCGACCAACTTAGGTATAATTATGAATTTATTTTTGTTATATATTATGCATATTCTTGGCTTGGAAAAATACTGTGTACTTTCTGCTCACATTGGAATAAATTATCTATCTATCTAGCTTGACCATGTGGACCTGGGCACTGCTGACCACTCACCTGTTCTCTGGAAGACACACTGGACACTCTGCCTCATTGTCTGAGTAACTCTCAAAGCAACTGGAAATATATTTTAAAGCAAATAAATAAATAAATCAACAAATTAATAAATACTGCCTGATTTGTGGCCATACATAGATGAAGTCAAAAACAAACAAACAAACAAACAAGATTACTGTTCATGAATTTTTAAGGATTTCCATTTGCCTAGTGCTTCTTATTTTCATGTATGCAAGACAATAATAATAATAATAATAATAATAATAATAATAATAATAATAACTTACTGTTGATGATAAGAGTGCTGACACAGAAAGTGGACAGAAGGAAGTTCCAATCCGTAGCCACAAGCACTACATTTAGACACCTGGAAGATCTTTGCACTGGGAACAAGAAATATGCACTGGTATATGATCTGATATTTAATGATACTAAAGACTAATTGTCTATCACTTGCATACTGATATCTATCAGTAGTGAGTTTCAAGTTGGCTTTGAAAGCCAACACAAAATTGTGAAGAAAAGAGATGGCAGTGTACCTTTTTCAAAATCACAGAAATTTCAGAACTAAAAATGTGCAGCTGTGTTTGTGTATGTGTAATGTGTGTATATACATGAGTGCCTGTGTGTGTACGTGTGTGTCACGGGGGAATGCGGCCATAAATCTTCATCTCTACAGGAACATGAGGATAAGGAAACCCGTTATTTTGATGTGCCTCTACCACTGTGCTTTTTAAAATATTTTTGACAATAATAAATATAAATACAAACTTACCTGGTTTTGAGTTCCTCTATTTGTTTTCTCATCTTCTCAGTCTCCTCTCTATACTGATTGATAAGTCTTTGGTCCTCTGCAATCTGATCACTCTCATATTGTAGACGGCGAGTGATGTAGTCCTAATTGTAGAATTATAATAAGAGATGGAAGTAGACCTTTTAAAAATTGCATAAAATGCAAGCTTCGAAAATGTGAAGCTGTGTGTTTGTGTGTGTGTGTATGGAGTGGCAGTGGTGGTGGTGGTAGCTTTGCCATAATTTGATCTTGTTGCTATATCCTACCGTGGAACTTGTTGCTAGGTCCTGTTTCAAAACTATATCTTACCTTGACAACAGCCAGCGTTGCCGTGGAGCTTGTTGCTAAGGTCTGTATAACAATGAGAGGAGGAAGTAGGTTCTTCTTATCAATTTGGCTGAGAACTTCCATCATGTGAGTCTTACAATTCTCCTCCTTTCTGGCAAAGTATGCCAAAGCTTGTGTCCACAGATTTTGATCTTTATCCCTGAAATTGTAGAAGGTGTCATGTTATCCGACAAAAAATCAAAATGCTCTTCGTGGCAAAGTATTTGTCACTGGTCCTCGTCTTTGTAATGATAATGTTTTGTTCAAACCATTTTTCTTACATGAATAAATATTAATATTATGTAATAGTTCATTTCCACTCCCATGCCCCCCCCCCAAAAAANGAATGAGTTACTATTTACCTCGCCCCCCCCCCCCCCCCCCCCCCCCCCCCCCAAAAAAAAAAAAAGCCTCATACTTACCCAAATCTCTTACATGTGTCTATGACATGTACATACTCATTGTGTTCCATGTGGTAACGTAATATCTGCTGGTATCTGAAAGTTTAATATCACTCAGTACCTTTGAACAACAAGAATCTAACCATCCCCACCTTCAATCAATCAATCAATCAATAAATCAATAAATCAATAAATCAATCAATAAACAAATAAATAAACAAACAAACAAAAGTTTTCAAAATTGTCAGTAACACTAAAAATGTTTTAAAACTTTTGTTGTATTTGTGTCAGAAAGTACATTTTGTGAGTGTCAGAAAATCATTATTCTTGAAATTAAAAAAAATATGACAAAAAGTTAATAGGTTTTGTAAGTTTTCAGTAACTGCAATATTTACTGCTTATATATTATAACATAAAATACCCATCATATAACTTACAGTCTTGCCTTCTCATACAGATACAGTATTCCAGCCTTGAAGTTGTTCATCTGGCACAATACCAAAGCCTGGTCCAGGTCGTAACCCGCCTAAAATATAGAACAAACAACCTGGATTTCTCTTATACCAAATCCTACCTTTTAATAATAGCTTTATAGTATTAAGTACAGAGAAAAGTTTTACCAAGTAGGGCTGACACAGCTTGTATCTGAACATGCACCCAGACGTTCCTATTAACATGTGGATACTTACATCAGGGTTCTGTAGCAGGTCCAGTGTCTTCCTTTCCCTCTCTGTTTTGGAGCTGATGTCAGTCTCGTGAACAATGCAATGTAGATACAGTTCCAGTAGCGTGTTGTACACCAGAGCTGGGGAGTTGGGTTGGACCTAAGCAAAAAACAAGGAGTACTATGAGTGTAGATACAGTTCCAGTATTGTTGGGTTGGACCTGAGCAAAAACAAGGAGCACTTAGAGTGTAAATAAAGTTCCAGAAGTGTTAAAAATTCACCTGTTTTGAAAATAAAAAGAAATGACTCATGTTTTAGACCAACAGTCTCGGTAACTACGTACTACAGTCTTCATGAATTGAAGTTCAAAAAACTTTCAAGCAGAAGTTCTCTTGTGAAACCAGTAGTAGGGCTAAATATGCTGGTTTGAGAGTCACTGAAAGAGTCACTATAAGGCCCCATTCAGCACAGATGATCCGATTACTAACTGATCTGCCCACTAAATATGGCTGACCACACTTCAAAAGAGATACTGCTGATTCCTGATGGTCTCCTTGCCTCCACCCACACCACTAAACAGATTAAATTTCCGGTACGAGGTTTAATTGCTAGGCACCGGCAGTGACGGCAAGAGTGGAGGCAGGGAGACCATCGAGAATCAGCGGCATCACTTTTGAAGTGTGGTCGGCCAAATTTAGTGTTGTTGGATCAGTTAGTAATCGACTCATCTGTTCTGAATGGGGCCAAAGAGTCACTGAGTACATGATAGAGCTAGTGACCCACCTTCACCATGTGCTCTAAGAACTCCGTCAGCCTTTGAGAGTTGTTCACAAAGATGTGGATGAACTCGTCTGCATTTGCTCTTTGGATTTTGGGAACTTCTCCTTAAAAATGAAAGAAACACAAGTTAGGGCTGTGCAATCAATGTAACTTCCAGGCAAGCAAGATGTAGAGATGTACATATTCAGTGCATCTTTCCTTTTCAATCTGACTTTTCTTTTTTTCTTCTTTTTATTTTTTATTAATTAATTAATTAATTTATTTATTTTTTTTTTTGGGGGGGGGGGAGGTGGAGGGAAGGAACATTTTATTTAGCAATAAGTGAACTAATGTATGCTTAAATTTAACCAGTCTATAACTATAATTAAAACTATGAGGTATCATTTTGCCAAGTCGACATAATAAGAACATGATAGTGAAAGAATAAGTAAAAACAACAAAAAATCCAGTACTCATACCTCCTAAGGTATTCATGTCCACCAGAGGCTCTAGAAAAAAAACATTTTTAGAGAGAAAAAGTGCAAATTATAACACTTAAATAATAAGATTATAGATGCATTATAAAGTATGTTACAAATATTGAGGTTAGAGTTATTAACCTCATACATACATAAAGTCATATAAATGCACACGTGCCCTAATGCATTCTCTCTCTCTCTCTCTCTCACATACACACACACACACACACAAACACACACACACACACACACACACGCACACACACACACACTTACTGTTACTAGGTCTATAGTCAGTACAGAGTCTCTTGAGCAATTCTGTTGTTTCCTGGGGGACTTCAGCCATAAGAACTTTACCATAGCGCTTCAGATTGCTCTCGGCCTAGAACAAGTTATTTGTAATACCCAGTCTGGTCTCAGTACTGTTACAGTATAAAATTTCATTTCAGAATGCTCATGAAATTTTTACATCACCAGATTTAAACTCTAGCATTAGCCTTTTTGAATTTTGTAATATATAAATTTTCCGACATTTCCTTTAACATTAAAAATTTCATTTCAGAATGCTCATGAAATTTATATATCAGCAGATTTTAATTCTAGCATTAGCCTTTTTGAATTTTGTAATACATAAATTTTCTGACTTTTCCATTAGCAAATTGTGAAATTTGCTTTTTTTTTTTACTTTTTATTTCCAAATTAGTTTTCCACCTCAGTCTATAACTCCCACCCTACCTCCATGAAGTCCAGTTTCCCTATATAGTCCAGAGCCTTCTGGTAGTTCTTAATGCTCTCCAGCTGAATCCTCAAGTACCACTCGTGTTTGTTGTGGAGTTCAGCCAAAAACAGGGCGTGGTCATAGTAGGCTGCTTGACGGCACACTTTAATGGCTGTCTCAACATCGAAATCTATCTCGCGATCTTTGGTCTTGAATAAGAGAGTAAAATGTGCATTGAAGATGAACTGCAACTTAGCTGAGTGGACTGCGGATTTTAGGACACATAGTGACATGGTGTTACATACCTGTGTTTAGTAAACAGTAAGAGACAAAACCATAAAGTTAGTAAAATATCATTATCAACACAAACGACCGAATTATGACAAAAGCAATAAATATAAAACATATTTAATAATAGGCATATTATATAAAACATACCATAATGAACTCATCTAGCTTAGAGACATCTTTGAGTTTAGTATAGCAGTTCAATAACAGGGTGGTGTGGTCTTCTGTCGCCTGCTGTGCTTTATGAAGCGCCTGGAGGTACGCTGTCAGGTTATGTATTCTTTGGGCATCTAAAAACTGGAAAATACGAAATAATAAAATAATAAAAAGATTCATTGCTTATAAGTGCATTTGCATTCGTCTCAGCAATGTTGAAGGAACTATTTACTGATATTGGCTATGTAAATCATTTGTCTTACTATGGTGACCATATTTAGAAATAATTATATTTTTCAGAATATAATAACTGAGGTGCCTGAAATGCTTGGGAAAAGCCATATTCTTAATTTATCTGTTGGACTCAATAAACATCACATGAATAAGAAGCACTATGATAAATTTTGTCAAGAGACCCTGTTTACATCTTGTCACTGCTGGTTAACAAACATATCAATTTTGTCTGTCCTAATTAGTTTTAAAAAATTAATTAATGAGTAATCACCAACCAGTCTTACCTTTCTTATGACATAAGAAGCCTCCAGCTTTCCTATAGTCTTAATATACTGAGCTATAGCGCCATCATGATCTCCCTTACTGAAATATCATTAAAATATTTCTATAGGAAAAGTTTCCACTTTTTGCTACAAACAAGTAAAGCTTGGTAGTATTTTTTTCTAAAAAAATTAAAATTAAAACCAATACGACTGTAAATGTGCCATGGTGCTCAGGAGTTGTACTAAAAAGAGCAGACCTAACTTGGATGTGAATCAGCCTTCCTGCTCATGTGACTTACCTATACAAATGGTCTCCATATTGCCGAAATATGTCAATGAGGCCTTCTTGGTCATACTGCTGACTCTTGGCTAGGCTAGAAAAATATAACACCAATAAATTGCAGAAATTTATAAAAAAGATCTTAGTGTTTTGCAAGTTAATTTCGTGTTGTTTAAAATTTGAAGTTGGTTTCATTTTTTGAATATAAATAGAAAAGGCACGCAGGTTATGTCAACAGCATATTATTTCAAACACTTTAAATATTTTTTCCATAACAATATTTTAATTTTGATTTTATGTATAGGAAAGTTTACTTTTTAAATGGAGTATTTGAATTGAATTTTTTCCTTAAACAACTAAAAATGTCTAATTAAAAAATATTTTTTTAAATAAACATAAAATCAAAATTACAAAACAACACTTCTCATAAGAAAAAAGAAGTTAGTGTATCAATAAAATGTACTAACTTGATAGCAACTTGATAGAGATTTTTCTTGAACAGCATCTCCANTGGCTGTCTCAACATCGAAATCTATCTCGCGATCTTTGGTCTTGAATAAGAGAGTAAAATGTGCATTGAAGATGAACTGCAACTTAGCTGAGTGGACTGCGGATTTTAGGACACATAGTGACATGGTGTTACATACCTGTGTTTAGTAAACAGTAAGAGACAAAACCATAAAGTTAGTAAAATATCATTATCAACACAAACGACCGAATTATGACAAAAGCAATAAATATAAAACATATTTAATAATAGGCATATTATATAAAACATACCATAATGAACTCATCTAGCTTAGAGACATCTTTGAGTTTAGTATAGCAGTTCAATAACAGGGTGGTGTGGTCTTCTGTCGCCTGCTGTGCTTTATGAAGCGCCTGGAGGTACGCTGTCAGGTTATGTATTCTTTGGGCATCTAAAAACTGGAAAATACGAAATAATAAAATAATAAAAAGATTCATTGCTTATAAGTGCATTTGCATTCGTCTCAGCAATGTTGAAGGAACTATTTACTGATATTGGCTATGTAAATCATTTGTCTTACTATGGTGACCATATTTAGAAATAATTATATTTTTCAGAATATAATAACTGAGGTGCCTGAAATGCTTGGGAAAAGCCATATTCTTAATTTATCTGTTGGACTCAATAAACATCACATGAATAAGAAGCACTATGATAAATTTTGTCAAGAGACCCTGTTTACATCTTGTCACTGCTGGTTAACAAACATATCAATTTTGTCTGTCCTAATTAGTTTTAAAAAATTAATTAATGAGTAATCACCAACCAGTCTTACCTTTCTTATGACATAAGAAGCCTCCAGCTTTCCTATAGTCTTAATATACTGAGCTATAGCGCCATCATGATCTCCCTTACTGAAATATCATTAAAATATTTCTATAGGAAAAGTTTCCACTTTTTGCTACAAACAAGTAAAGCTTGGTAGTATTTTTTTCTAAAAAAATTAAAATTAAAACCAATACGACTGTAAATGTGCCATGGTGCTCAGGAGTTGTACTAAAAAGAGCAGACCTAACTTGGATGTGAATCAGCCTTCCTGCTCATGTGACTTACCTATACAAATGGTCTCCATATTGCCGAAATATGTCAATGAGGCCTTCTTGGTCATACTGCTGACTCTTGGCTAGGCTAGAAAAATATAACACCAATAAATTGCAGAAATTTATAAAAAAGATCTTAGTGTTTTGCAAGTTAATTTCGTGTTGTTTAAAATTTGAAGTTGGTTTCATTTTTTGAATATAAATAGAAAAGGCACGCAGGTTATGTCAACAGCATATTATTTCAAACACTTTAAATATTTTTTCCATAACAATATTTTAATTTTGATTTTATGTATAGGAAAGTTTACTTTTTAAATGGAGTATTTGAATTGAATTTTTTCCTTAAACAACTAAAAATGTCTAATTAAAAAATATTTTTTTAAATAAACATAAAATCAAAATTACAAAACAACACTTCTCATAAGAAAAAAGAAGTTAGTGTATCAATAAAATGTACTAACTTGATAGCAACTTGATAGAGATTTTTCTTGAACAGCATCTCCAGCTTAGTCTGCGTGTCTTTCTCCTGTAGTAAATACATCTGAAATGACAAATAAATTCCACCTCAAACACTTCTTCATTAAATTTTGTACTAAAAAAGATATTTTAAACTCAAAATTCCACAAAAAATATGATCAACCAATATTTACTAATTTGTACCATGTGGAAAAAAACAACACTTCAGTTACGCCATAACTGAGACAATAAATAACACACACCTTTCCGTCTCCAGATATAATATAGAGGGCGCCCCACTCACTGACGACATCAATCACCTCAGGAATGGGTACAGAGCAGGCGATAAACTTGTTCTGGATGTCGTACACTGTAACAATGTGCATGTCAAGGTTCTGGTTGGCCCTGCAGTCATGATAAATAATGATCAATTAAGTAATCTATAAATAACTTTTAAATTAGTTTTCAAAAGATATTTGGACGGGTCTGAAGTTTTCATTTTTTATCACCTTTCATATTGACAAGAATAAGTACAAAAAGGAGAGAGATTTCATACCAGTCAACAACTTTCTTCTTCGAAAATCTTTTTTTTTTAATCGGAGAGAGGTTGCACAAAAATTATCACAAGTAATAAATAGAAATATACATTTTAACCCACATGGTGAATATTTTTACACAAATGAAAGTCCTTTATGACACAGGATAATTAGATAAATTTGATATTTTGTAAAAAAAAAAAAAAAAAAAAAAACTCTCACATGGGCCTGGGTATCCCCTTGCTGTCCTTTCCAACCACAACCAAATAGCCCCTGAACCAGTGTAACTGTAACTTCTCTCCCTCAAATACCAGGCACGGCCCTCGACCATCTGGCTGGTAGAAATAGACTGCCTGGAATGGTTCACAGAACAGTGTTAGGTGTGACGGTGTGCTAGTTGAGTGACTTGTGACATTGTAACTTGCACACACCGCATACAAGATTTTTCACCAGTTACACACGCACACAAATCTTTTATACTCCCTTTCTCTTTCATGTGCACACACACACACACACACACACACACTTACACACACACACTACTTACATCTTGTCTTCCTAACACCAGCTGGTTATCCTGTGTCATGTCACTCATAATGGAACACCTCAGCTTACAACCATGCTGGTCTAAAACCTCCTGCAATAAGATGACATAATTAGAAGATATTATACCAAATAGGGTCGGCTCAACTGATATGTAAAAACATCATTATGGAACGACTCAGCTTACAAGGTGACGACATTGTCAGAATTTACAGAAACTAGACTTTAGATTTAAATTTAGTTCATTGCATCTCCTGTTCATTGCATCTCACCAATCTCTTAATGACACCTGCTACGTAATAGAGAATTATCTGTTTCAGAATGACTATTAATCCGCAAACATGACTGCCATTGTGATTTTAGTTGCCACTTTGAAAATTTCTAAAGAAGGGAAAAATGACCTACAAAGGCACACTGCTGTGCTCAGCCTAACTGACTACACATTACCTGACTTTAATTTTCTAGCACATATATTTATAATTAATTATTTAAGATAAAACTGATATCAACAGGACTTCAAGCTCCTTGTCTCTTACTTTTGTGTCTTTATCTTTTGCTGATAGATTCATTGCCATGGTAACATGCTCCGTGACAACAAACAATATTGTCTGCCTTCCCGAGGACTTGAAGGAGAGTCCTGTGATAGGATGGGGTCCATCGTGGATCGTCCTCTGCTTGCTGTGCCTGTAACAAGATAACTGTTTTAGAGCTTGGAAGCAAGTAACAGGAGGTGCCCTACTAGACAATATTATCGTTTTGCTGGACAAACCTAGATATCATTCTACTTGTTCCATTTTTGCTGAATTCTCATCATTTATTTCCTAATTCAATTAACTTTTTTAAATTAAAAATTTTATTTTATTTTATTTTAAATTTACATTGTACCACCTACCTGTCCCTGGTGACATCTCCTCTAAACAGGACCACACTTCCATTCTCAAATCCCACCACCATGTGGTTCAGGTTCTCATGGACAGCAAGACAAGTCACCTAGTAATATACATGGGAAAACTGAATTTGTGTTTCTGTGTGTGGACGCGTGCATGTGTGTATGTGTGTGGCTGTGCACTCATGCATGCGTGTACGCATGTGTGTGAATGCATGTGTGTGCATGTGTGTGTGGGATTATGGTCCTCACGGACAACTAGACTGGTCAGACAGGTCAATGTACACTGTATAAAGAACGCATGGGTGTGCGTGTGAACAGGAGCATTTAAGATTCTAATGTAGGACAAAACACTTGAAATAACTCTCTGCTTATATGTATGGAAATATCTCTGTATATTTTGTTCATATGCTGGTACATAATTTGTGCCTGACAGAGAGAGAAAGCCTAATATTCACACTTACAGGTGTTGGTTTGTTGTTTCCTGGCAGAGCCCTCACAATTCTGGTACAGGTAGGAGAACCAAACTTATCAGGCTGGAATGCAATAGTGGAAATATTACTCTCGAAAATCATTATACCCTCCATTAAAATCAACACAATCCTAATCTCTCTAATATATTTTGTTGCTATAAGGCTATTTTTAACTCACCTTTTAGGAAGAGAACTGGAACAAACATATCATGTCCATCTCCTGCATCACTAGCCTATGTTCAGTGTTTTAAATATTTCAAACTTACTAAAATGGTGGCAGATTCATTTCACAACCAAACCAGCAATAATACAGTAACATTAAAAGCCCAAAATCAGCTTAAGAACAATTCTAAAACCAATTCACTGTGGGTCTGCTTTACTTTTTCTAGTTCTACAAGAATAATAAATATCCCAGTACCTTGTCCAAGTTCCAGACTTTGATCAGTGGATTGATGCCTTCTTCATCCTCCTGAACATGAACACACAAACATCATACATTTATTCATAAGACAAGCAATCAAATGTTAACAGTCAAAGTTGATTGTAATACTGTATGACCATAAGTTGTTGGAGAAACAAGTCTGACCTTGATCTTTCGAGAATTTCTAGACAAAATAAAAATTCATTCGTACGGTACAAGGGGCACAACTTCAAAGAGAGGAAAATGACTGGCAGTTTTTCTTTTTTTTTAAATTTTACTTATCTACCTCTACTTTGTGGGATTATATCACCATCTTCAGTGTAGATTAATGATTTGTGCTGCCCTCTACAGTTTATAATACTGATTCTAATGGTTACCAAAATACTGTGCTGGCCGCTTGAGTTCATAATACTCACCCCAATGGTCACCAGGATATTGTGCTGCTTCAGCTGGTAAAGATGTGATACACGGATACCATATGCTTTGAAGGAGTTCACTCGCAACTGTCTATTCATAAAATGAAGGCTGCCTTCAAAGTCTCCTAGGACAACCTGGCCCCGCCCACTAACACATGCTGATATATTGAGCTCCTGAAATGATTGACAACATAAGACAACCCAGTACAACCTGGCCCCACCCATTAACACATGCTGATATACTGAGTTCCAGAAAAGAAATGATTGGCAATTTTAAGAACCCAGCAAAACCTGACCTATTGCACCCAAGATAATTGGTAATGCTAGACACAACTAACAATATGAAACCTAGTGGCACAAACAAATATATTGTTTTCAATAGATGATTGACACAGTTTGATACATAGTGAAAATGATGACATATACTGGGAATGCTATAAAAATCATTATAACTCAATTTTACCAATACAACAGTTTTTAAGGAAAGATTTTATTTTCCTTCTAATCAAGAGCTAGACAACCAATTATAAGTCAACCTGCAGCTTTAGGATAATTCTCTGCATTAACTTCCACACAAAAAAATGCATGTCTCATTAAAAGGAGAATTTTCTTCCTGATGTAATGAGAAGATTTTTAAAAAGTAGAATGCCAAACTCACCTTGAGTTTATCAAATGGTTTATTTTCATCTGGATCAGTGACAATTTCTTTGTCAAAGAAGTTAAACCTCCTCCACTGAAATATAACAAAGATTTTCAGTTGAAATGATACAAATGTACAATAATTCCTTTTATTTCTACTTTATCTCCCATCAATAGTAGTCAGCTATTTTGAAGTAGGGATTATTTTTCTGAAAAAGTGGTTCTTTCACCATGAAGCCTTGGTGAACCTAGATGAATTATTATCCAGATCAGACCTTTTCCTGGCAAAAAGCACAATTTGAACCCGTCTGCAATTTTACCAATTTCCTGTCATATTCATTAGTTGCATATGTATCAGTCTGTGCAAAAAATCTTTGAAGTCCACCAAGCAACGAGGATATAAAAATCCTCTGCTCCTGTGTGAAATAGTGCAGGCCTGTAGCCGGGGGGGGGGGGGGGGTTGAGGTTTCAAAAGAACCACCCCTTTTGCTGGGAAAAGGTCCACTCTCGGTAAAATTTGATCTAAGTACATGAAGTTTTTATGGAAAAAGGTCCATTTTTTCAGAAAAAGAACCCCCCTTTTGAAATTGCTGGCTACGGGCCTGTAGTGACAACGCAGTAATAAATTGAATTAATTATCAAAATTTCACTTTCTCTGCTTCAAAACTATTGGCATTTGGCAGGGGGACCAGTATTAACATTGCAGATTGATGTTTTTATTTTTCATTTTCTATTTCTATTTTCTATTCATTTTTCTATCCTAACAGGTCTGATAAATGGTATTTCATTACAACATAAATTATTTTATATAATAATAATATTTCATGATCAAGGTACACAATTTCATTAATTATGTAAAATTTTTCATATTTTTTTAATACAACATGTCCAACATTATTTTTTACTGAACAAATAAAAACATAAAGAATAACAACTACAAAACGATTTTTGTCAAAGCAAACTAATAAGAAATCAAACCGACAATTATCACTTTCACTGTGTCAGATGGAAATATGCTAGTTGACTGACTTCCTCAACCTAGTTGGAAGGGGTCGCTCTGGGCAGTTTTGGATAAAATACAACTTGAGCTTTGTCAGGAACGAAATAATTGAGGATTTATAAGGACGCAAGCATGTAACAATTTGTCCGTGTGGTAGACATTTGGAAAAATTAGCAATTTGTTGACACCTACCTGTAAGAAGGCCATGACGGCATATCTGGGTCAAGTCAGTCAGCGAGAAAAGTCAAAAAATAGTTTCGAATACTTTAACATGTTTATGTATTAATATGTGAACATATTAACATCATTATAAAGCTAAAAGTAATTTAAAACCAATTTTTGTAATTATAATTTTTATATATTGATGTCATAATTTTGAAAAAATATTTCTAAAACGTCAAAATTCACTGACGATTGACTCTGCTTTAGGTTGCTGAGGACTCGCTTGGGCTTGGCGTGGGTGAAAACTTTAACCAAAATGTCCCGAATGTCATCAACTTTCGGAAGACAAAGCGGTCTGAAATCTTCACAGAAGTCTTTAGGAGGTTTGTAGCCATTTTACAATTTTAGGTCATATTTATTTTGTGCAGCGACCCGTTGCAAGAAATATCGTGCCAAACGGCTAACTCGGTCAGTGTAACATTGACATAACTTTCTATTATTATACGCATCGGGATCAATAGAGTATACATTCTTTGCACATTGATCTTAAGATAAAACTGGAAAACGAAGAATCGAAGCTGAATTTTTTTACAGCTAAGAAAAGTGTTGTGCATGCGTAGTATTACTCCTACGGCGAGACCAACAACAGGCAACAAAGTGACAGCGACGGCATACTGAACGAGGCCATTATAAAACATAACTGGATAACAAAGATCCTCTGAAACTGGGAAATAAGTTTGACTGTCATTGCAATACAGTAAAATTTGGATCATAAAAAAATTGAGAAAAAAACGTAGAAGCATTTTATGCTTTGCTTAGCACCATATTAATTATTATCAAGAAAAAGAAATCGTAAACCTAAAATTAATAAGCCTGCGATAACCATGCCTCTTACTCGAGAGATCTCGCAGCCCATCGGACAGCAGCCACCAGATGTTTTCAACTGGACGGACACTTTGCGTAAGACGCCACCTCCGTCCCCACCTCATTCCAGAAAACGCAGCAAGTCGCCAATAACATTCAATAGCTCCAGCACACGCAGCTTAGGTGCGTAAACTTCAAATGGGAGATAAAATTTATTCCTGCTTGTTAGCTTTAGGGTTTAATGAATTTGTTTGTAAATTTAATACTCTATGCCGAGATAGCACCCTGAGTATTGGAGGTCACTGGAACCTCACCTCTGCATCATCAGCACAAAATCCATGCGTTAACATTTCTACTGATGATTTTTGGTATGAACAATGTGCAGAAAACAGCAATAGGAGTGGTAACGCATGAATTTTGTACTACAGTATGCCTCTGCTGTTCAGTAACCTAGAAACACAGAGGACACTGAAAGCTTAACAGTTGCTGTTACTGTACTTGTACGTACTGAAATGGCAGAGGTGCGCAAAGAATGTGAGTTGCTAGTTATCTCTGAGACTCAGGGTGCAAGGCATTAAGTTAAAGCGCTTCATGTTATATAGCACGCCAAGCAAACTGAAGGCACCTGTTGTTTGTACTAATATTGTCTGAGTTGAGCCAAACCTTTTTAACCAGCTACTATGCTGCATCACAGATTTTTTAGATTTTTTTTTTTTTTTTTTTTTTTTTTTTTTTTTTTTTTGAATAAAAGGTCTTAGTGAATTTCTCAAGACTTAGTAAGATTTATTATTAGTTCCATAGTTTTGTATTCAAAATTTATTTGGAACATGGCAAGAGAAAAAGGATCATGTAAATTGATTTTTATGATTTAAAAATTCATTTCTGAGAATGATGACCTGTATATGATTACTGACAATATGGAGAAATATGGCATTACTGACTATTACTTACATGTGTTTGTATTTTTATGGTGATTGAACATTATGTGATTGAACATTGTGTGATTGGATAATAATGAAAATAAATTTAGCAATTTATAATTGAATGCATTGAAGATTTGTTTGAAATTCATGATTTACATATAATTGTTTTCCCTACTTTGTGGACTAATGTTTTGATATTTAATCATTTTTGCAGAGGAAAATTGTCATAACCTGTTGATATGCCAATGAATTAAAAATACTGATTTGTTGTATAATATATATCTAATAATGTGATTACTATTTATGTTAGACTTATCTAGTAGTCATTTAAATCAGTGTTTTTTTTTATTTATATGTTCCAAATATGATTATTTTTTGCATTTTGAAATTTAGTTTGTTGTAAATGAAATAAATAAAATTAATTATATGTAATTGCCATGCGCCATGCCTTAATGATGGAATTAGTTAATTTGCTAAATGATGGTTAAGTGAAATGTATCACAGTGACTATATATAATTAATAGCAAATTTTGATTATTATCTCCTGTGCAGTCTCCCTTTTTTATTAATTCATTGTTTATAAATAAAATTTTGATTTTCATCCAAATTTCATTGATATTTTTTTGTTAAAAATGCACCGATTTTCTTATATCTTCCTGTCTTATTATTATTTTTTTCAATTTAATTTCAAATTCATTTTGATTTGGAAAAATTATTTGATTTCTTGCTTGATTGAGAGTTGAGATTTTCTTGCTATAATTTAAATTCTGATTTTTATGGTGTTCTATTTTTCCTGTGATTTAAAGATTGGAAATTTGATTTTAATTGAATTTAATTTGGTACCTTACAACATTCAGTTTATATTTTACAATGTTAATATTATTAATTACAGGCATGGTTCCATTTTTGGTTCTCTTTTATTTTGAGTTTGTGTGAGCAATTTCTGTCTATTAAAGGCAATTATCTTACTGACGCAGCTCGTACCCGCTCTCCATCACCTCTAAGAAGAAGTGGAAGCAATAGCAGCTTAAGAAGAAGCACAGGAAACTTAGCAGCAAGCCTCAACATGAGTGGAAGGTAATGGAAGGAAGCATTTAATGGGAAAATTTGATGTTAAAAGTTATTCTGAAAACCGTTTTGAAACATAAATTTGAATCAAAAATAGGAAAATATGACTTCACATTTAGGAAATAAAGCTCAATTATAAAGAGCTGGGAATTTTATTTTAAAATTTCTTATTTTTAATTATATTTTGGTTCCTGTGCATAAATTATAACTGTAATTCATCGGTATGTGGGTGTAAAAAATATTTGATTTTGGATAGCTCCTACAAAAACTAAGCTCTTTACAGTGACAGCAAATGTATATAGACTCTATGTAATTAGTTATTTACATGAATATTAGTTCATTAATTTACTAATAAAACTGATTTGTCTCTTTTTTTTTTTCCAGAAAATCTGCAGACCTTCAAAACATAGAGTCTGAGTACATCAAGAATCTCCAGCAGCAGGTCTACTTCCTGGAACTTGAGGCCAATTATCTATATCCTTTATAATACCTCAAATTTTGTTTTAACTTTCAATGATTTAAATCATAAGGTATGACAATTACAATGTATTCACAAAAGGACAATATCTATATTCTTGATTATTTGATCTCTAAGTTTTTTTTTCTTTTTTTTTTTTTTGGGGGGGGGGGAGGGGGGACATGAAGTATCCAAACCATTAGAACACTGGTGCCTCACAAAAATTGTTTAAAAAATAAATTGATTTTACCCATTTTGTTGGGTGAAGGGAGTACAATACCATAATTATGGTTTCATAAAGAGCAAGATATATTTTATTCCTTAATTCTCATGTACCCGTGAACAGGCAAGAAAAGCGACAGACATGCATCCACAAATGACAGCAGAAGCAGAGAGGATGCTGGGTAAACTCAGGGTGAGATAATTAAAACTTTGATTTTTGCCCACTTTTTTTTCTCTTTTATGATCTATTCATTCCCATTATAACTTAGTCATGTTCTTTTTTAAATATCTCTTTTTTTTTCTCATGTACTGTAATTGTATTTTAAAATTTTTGTGCTCCCTAACAAAATCTCAGACCTGCTTATGATAAAATTGTTTTTGTAGATTCAAAATAAAAAAAAAAGTTTGAACTTAAATTTAATGTACACAATGGTGTAGAATAGTAATAAAATTGTTAATTTACTTCACAGCATCTGCAAGAGGAAGTAGACGGATTGAACATAGAAAACCGTAGAAAGGAGGGAGACATTGGAATGCTAAGTGTTGAGAAAACGAGAGCCTTGGAGACGCTCTCGGCTGAAGAAGGTGGGTAACACAGGCGCCATCTATATTTGTGTCTAGACAGTCTGGTGGTGCATTGGTAACAAAAAGGAGGAAAGGAAACTTTTGTAGTTCAAAGGTGGAAATGTTTGTGGGACCCAAACCATGTTTTAAATCAACAAAGCCTTTGGAAACTGTTTCTGTACTCCGTTCACTGTTTTTCAACTATGAACCTTTAATGAAAAAATACAAAAACAAACAAAAAATATAAACTAAGAATTAAGTCATCTTCCAAATAAAAAAATTAAGACATATCTAAACTGAGTTGAATATTTTCAGATTGATTTAAATATATATATTTTTTTTACAATTTTCATTTGACATACAAAATCATTTCTTCACAGCAAAATTTAACCGTGAGAAAAGACTGCTTATGGATGAAATTGTGCAATTGAAGAAAGACAATGAAATGATGAGCTTGGAGAACATACGAAAAGACACCGAGCTTTCTAATGCACGCTCAGATGTAGAATCTACGAGGCATGCATTACGGAATGCAGAGGGGAAGATCGATCTTTTGAGAAATCAGGTCAGTATTTTCTCTCTCTCTCTCTCTCTCTCCAGCAGAACATTTCAGCTTGGATCAGGGCAACTAAATGCATATTCAAGTCAACATTGTGATGTTGATTTGATGGCATTGTATGGACGACTGACTTGAAAAAAAGTGGTTGATATGGACCTCAAAAAGTTATTCTCACCTCCAAGAGTAAAAATCACAATATGCACTAGGTACCTACTGGTACTTATGTAGTCAAAAATCTGAGTTAGCTGTCTTTTGTTAAGGCCAATTTTTGACTTACACTGTTAGTCAGTTTGTGACACTGTACCCAGATGTTAATAATTGCTTAATACTCAGCTTTCTTTATCATACTCAGCTTGACCAAAGAATAGAACAACACAAGATTACGCAGCTGGCGCTGGAAGAGAAGAGAGCAGAAGTTCTCCGCACAGAAACCAACCTTAGAGAACTGGAGGACAAATATTACAGCAGCACAGTGCAACTGAAGGATAAAGCTATGCAAGACTTGAGGGTGAGTGTATTTAATTGTTTGTTTGTTCTTTCATTCTTTTATTAATTCATTTTTGCATTAATGTTTTGTTTTTGTTTTTGTTTTTGTTTTTTTTGTTGATTGATTGGTTAATTGGTTGTCTGATTAACTAGTTGATTAATTGAATTAATAAACTATTGTCTTTTTATTTATGTTTGTATGCTTGGAAAGATTGTTATTGTCTTACTTAGGCTTCGTTCACATGCAATGTCTATTTTCTAAATTCTATTTTCTATTCGCGGTATGTCTTATGATCACGCTCTGTGCCCTTAATGTCCCGCGGCGTAATTACTGGCAGCGCGAGCCAGTTACTATAAGTTACTATAAGTAACTGGCTCACGCTGCCAGTAATTACGCGGCGGATATTCAGTGCACAGACCGTGATCATAAGATAGCGCGAATAGAAAATAGAATTTAGAAAATAGACATTGCATGTGAACGAAGCCTTAAATGAGCAATGAGCAGACAGGGTATTATAAACAAGTGTAAATTATTAGCTCATGTTGGAAAATTATTGAAAGTGATGAAATCAGTTTTCTGGAGTTTTTCCTATTATGGATTTGCCCCTGTGCCTTAATAAAAAATTCCTCTTTGTAGGATGAGATCCGCATGCTGCGTCAAAAACTGAAGGAAACAGAAATGATGGCAGATCAAGACAGATTTTTGAAAAATAAACTCTCTGACGACAGTTCTCACTTGGTGAAAGAAAACGCCTTGATCAACCAGCAAGTCTTAGAGTTACAGAAACAGTTGGATAGGGTAAGACAGTGTGGGGAATTCACAAATGCACATGCAAAGATGTTAATTTATATTCTTTTGTAAAAGAAGGTCCATTGTTTGCTGTTTGAGTGGTGTGGAGAATGAGAAAGTTGTAGCATTGCTAGGTTTGTTTTTTCTAAGCATTAAAAACATTATCTTTGGGTGAAGGGGAACACCGAAATCCATATTAACAAATGAGAACCATTCAAACCGTGCTAAATACACTCATGCCCACATGTTCACGAACATGGATGAATGCTGTGCAGCAGATTTGTGAATGCTACAAAATAAGCTGCCAGTAAAGATACATTGGAAAAACTGCAATTTTATACTGACGATATGGCCTTTAAAATTCCTAACTCTTAGCCTGCTCTTTTGTAAATTCTAGGAAAGAGAGCTCCGGGAGGCCACAGACACTCGGAGATCTGTGAACGCTGTGGAACTTGCTGCCAGTAAAGACAGAGAGAGCAAACTGCAATTTGAACTGAATAACACAAAAGAACAACTGAGACAAGAACAGGACAGAGTAAGACACTATATGGATCAGGTAATACTTTTTTGTTTATTATTTATTATTATAAATTATAATTATTATGCAGTCTTCAACTTTAAACACAGTTATGAGGCAATTTACAATCAGCTTTAGTATAAAACTTGTGAAAAGAAATATTTTTTAATTACTTGTCTAATTGTGCTGATGAAAAATTTTTATTTTGTTATAGACTATTTTTCCTGTATATAAATTCCATCTATGGACAAAGAGTTTGAGATTGATTCTGACTTCTGATTATTAAGAGTAATACAGTTAATAGTTTTATGCAGACCATTGGTACAAGTTATCAGATGGCTGGAAAAAATTTACTTTTAATTTAAAACGTCATGATAATTATAATATTTATTGATATTATGTTATTCCTAGCTCTCAGCTCAGGGCTCTACTTTGACGAGTACAGAATTAAACGCATCCTCCACACGCAGTCGTTTGGTAGAACTAGAAAGCGTGCACCGCAGCACGGAAGATGAGAATGCACAGCTGCGAAGAGACAAGGCCCTGCTCACGGATCACACTGCAGACCTGCAAAGACAGGTAGGGTTGGGATTGTCTTGGCAAAAATGACATCTATCTTTGTGTCATTGTATCTTCAAGGGGCAGTTTTTGTTTTGTACAAAATTTTAATGGCTGTTATTGCAAGATGTACCTGGTACCCTGTTAAAAAGGAAAGGAAACTAGGAGAGTTCATTTGCAATTTTACTTCAGACATTTCAGAGTTGTAAATTCAAAATTGTACGTGAACTTTTTCCTTCTCATTCTATCCCTCAATTAACTACAACACAAAATGTTTCATTTTCAAACCTGTTGAAGGTCAGCTGTGGAATTGAAAGGGTGAAAAGTTCTACACAATTAAAGAAAAGTCTTCCCAAGTTGAGACTTGGGCTATAGTTACTTGATCAATTTCCAGATAGAGGAGAAAGAAAGGGAGATCACAAGGTTACGCTCCACAGTCGGTATTCAAGAGTCCCAACTGGACCAGCTGGAAGCTGTCAAAAATGCCGAGACAGCCTACCAAAATCAAAAATGGCGTGAATTTGAAAACTTAACAGACAGCATGCGCAATATGACCAGCACCATGGCGCGCTCTCGTAGCCCTAGTCCCAGCCCCAGAATGAGAACACGGCTTTCTAACTACTAAAAAGTATTGAAATTATGTTTGATGTTTGACTTTTGTTTTATTTTCAATCTTTTGTGCAGAGTTTTGAATATTTGCTGAAGATATCCCCCCCCCCCAAA